CTCACAGACTCAGGCAAGGAGGCAGGAAAGCTCCTCAAGTCCTCCTCCACACTCCTAAGTCCAAGCTCCTCATCCCAAGCTCCAGTTCCATAAGGGCCGTCCCTGATTAGAGATATTGTGGTCCATACTGGGGAAGGGCTCAGATCCAAGAGACACGGAGCTCCTAGCAGAGCCCTGGGTTGAGACAGGGTCACATGAGGAAGGGGTAGCCATGGGGCCAGGGGCAGGCTTAGGGCAAGGGTCAAACTCCTTCGGGCACACAGACACTTGAGCTTTTGAGACAGGGAGGAGCTGGCAGCTGAACTACTTAGAGCAGGGGGTGTTTATCAATGGCCCAATTCATTCTCAACTATCCCCCTTGTCTGAGCCAACACAGAGATGGGCATTATGTCCCAGGGCTACAAGAAAAAGAAAAAAAAAAAAAAAAAACTCCAAGACACTGTCACCAATTAGAGTCCAAAGGTACAGAAGCCAAATTGAGACATTTGGTTTGAAAACCAGATGACATATTTGAAATTGAGGATGTCCCCAAAAATCCAATGTGGTTCCCATCCCCAGAGGCCAATAGAATCCTGAATTGCTGGTTGTTCATTTATTTATTCTGATTTCCTTCAACAAGGATATGGAAGTTTACAGTTAAAAATATGTATTCTATAAAGTTGATAAAGTAGAAATTAAAAGTCAAAGCAATGGTTCCAACTAACATAGTTATTACAACGGAGCAATATGATGGACTAAGAGCTTCCCAGCAATCAGGAGTGAGAAAAGAAACACAATGGGAAAATAATTTCATCCCCTGCCACCTTTATTCTGCTGGACTGACCACACTGTGCCCTTTTTTAACCATTCCCAAGGGTCAGGCTAAAGAGTAGATTCTAGCATTCCCCTCAAAAAGTGATTGAACCCAATTTGTTCTCCTGCATTTTAGGGGAGTTAGTAGCTAAGAGCTTAGTCACCCCTTACACCAAACTATAAACACTAAGAAAGCAGAAACTCAGTCAGGGCACGGTGGTTCATGCCTGTATCCCAGCACTTTGGGAGGCCAAGGCAGGTGGATCACCTGAGGTCAGGAGTTCGAGAACAGCCTGGCCAACATGGTGAAACCTTGTCTCTACTAAAAATACAAAAATTAGCTAGGTGTGGTGGTAGACACCTGGAATCCCAGCTACTCAGGAGGCTGAGGTAGGAGAATCTCTTGAATCTGGGAGGCAAAAGTTGTAATGAGATCACGCCACTGCACTCCAGCCTGGGTGACAGAGCAAGACTCCGTCAAAAAAAAAAAGAAAGAAAGAAAAAAGAAAAGAAGGAAGAAACTTAGTACCATCTTTCTAACTTCCCAACTGAAGGAGCACATATAGTCTGAGTACCTCACTGAAGTATCCAGAAGAAAATAGCCAGGTTGGGACAGGTCTAGAAGCTCTACTAAGAAGAATAATACCACCACTTAGCTGGTATTTTGGCACCTACTCTTCTAACTACTGTTTAGTGTGTGCCCAGTGGTCACCAGAGGGTGGAGGTCATAGAGAAGATTCTGTCCAGAAAAGAGATAACCACTGGAAGAAAGAATAGGAGTAGAGCAAAGACCATCCCTCCACCAGCCAGTGGGAGGGAGACTTAAAGTAGAGTTGAATGAAACCAGAGAAGAGAAGGAATCAGCCCAGCTCAATTCACTGTCCTTCCTGCTCTGGGCTTCTTGCCTTGGGCCCCAGCCCAGAAGGGTCACCACTTCTCTGCAGCAGGGGTAATCCAGAGTATAAACTACAGCATGGAGGAAATTACAGGTGCTGAGCTCTGCTCCATCTCAGATCCCAGCCTGAACTGGCTTGCCTTCCAAAGAAAATGTTTGGAAGTTTTCACTTCTAAAAGGACAATTACTGCTTCTAAGGGCGAAGATGCTCTCTGGCTGCGCTCCATGGGCAGACTCAATTTCAGATTAAACAGGACCCCTCAAAGACACCTTATCACCATCTGCCCTGACCCCCCAGCCAAAGTCCCTGATTTAAAATATTCCCTGCTGAGGCCAGTTTTTTGGACCCATTGTCAGAGGTACCATATACAGGCTAAAATGAGCAAAAGGGGTTGGGAGAGGCTAGTGGCTGAGGGTGGGGCCAAGCCAGGGATCCGTTTGTGCATATGCATTGTGCAAAGTGGGTGCATGTTGCATACATGTCGTTGTCTGCAGGTATACATGTCAAAAGTGTGTGAATGGTTGCATGGCAATCCTGAGAAGAGTGTGTGCAAGATTGGTGCGCGTGAACAGGGATGTGTGTTCACTGAGCATGTGAGCGTGAGTGCACTGCGAGTGTTTGTGGGTGGCCATGGCTATGTGGTCTCCTCATCCCCTGGCCCCCTGCCTCTTCTCCTGGTTTGAGAGTGGGGTCCCCAAGCTATATCCCTGACCCTGGTCTAGCCAGATGGGGTCAGTCAGAGCCACATTCACTCCAGTGTTGCTTGAGGGCTCTGAGCTTCTGTCCTGCTCCAAGCCCTGTGAAACCAAAGCTGAATGACCCACAGAGAAGACACCCCAGCTCGGGACAAGTCAGGTCACCCTAGAAAGCCTGAGTTCGTATAACACTTCCTAGCCCCACCTTCTGCTTTCCTGGGTTGACTCTGGCACATCCACTCATCTACATATGGCCTGGCTCAGCCCACCTGGAGGCCTTCCTGCCACATACACACAGGCCTTTCCACAGGAACAGACACAGTCCACCCAGGGCAGCAGGTGCCACACAGACAGACACCTGTGGCCCACTCCAGGCCACCACACACACTCTGACATTCTCTTTCACCCACACTCACTGGGACACATGTTAGAAAATGCCACATGTGGACATCGCACCCAGACACACTCCCTCACACTGGCACAAGTTCCCCTTCACAAGCACTCACACTGACACACTTACTCCTACTATCCAATTAGTCACAAACTTGCACTGTTCCCAACTAGGCTGGCAGAGGCAGCATCGGCCCCTGAGTCCAGCCAGGGGACCTGTCTACTTACTTAGTGTGCGAGACAGGCGGCTAGTGCGAGCAGCCAGCGGTGGCGGGACGCAGCGGCAGCTCCAGAGGCCGCGCTCAAAGTGGCCGCTCCGCAGGCCAAGCCCGAGGGGCCGCCCCTGGCCTCCGCCCCCGCCCCGCTCATCCCCGCCCGCCCCTCCGAGGCGGCCACAGCCTCCCAAGGACCTTCCTTCCACAACAGCGCTCTCTCTGCCAAGCCTCTGTCCCGCGTCAGCCACGGCTGCCTGCAGTTGCCGCGGGATCGCGAGGCTATTTCGGTGCCCCTGGTGGGGGAAACACGGCGTTCCCTCCCATCTGTGGGTGCGCTGAAATGCGGACGCGGTCAGGCCCAATTAGAGGCTGGGCTCCCCCAGGCCGGGCTGCAGGCACCAGGGTTATCGCCCGGGAGCCTTGGAGCCGTCCAGGCGGGGGCGCCCACAAGGTACCCTGCATGCCAACATCTGGAGAGAGGAAGGGAATGTGCCGCGATCGTTTCTCTTGGAGCTGAAACAAGACAAGGAGGGATTTGGGTGCAGTTCACTTGCTTGGAAGGAGGAAACCGCCCAGTTTTGAACGGCCCCAAACGCCTAGAATGAGGCGGTTTATTCACCACAGGTGCTTCCCTCTGGAACCTTGGTCACACACATCTAAGTCACCCTCTATATCCTGGACCTGCCAAAAATGACCAGACCAGGGGTTGTTGCAGAAACTCCTTCTAACTTCGGCACATTAGTTCGGATCCCAGCCCCCACCCACACACACCATCCTGGACTCTGTCAAATGGCTAAATCTAGAGGAACTTGATTCCCACCCAAAAGCTCAGCAATGTGGCATTATTGACCTGGAGTAAAAGTTCCAGGTTATTTCATACAACCCCCCTCCCACCACCACCACCACCACCGTGTCTTGGTATGAGTACCCCACAGGTTAGAGAATCTCAACCTATTCTTGGAGGTCCTCAAGCAAAGGTGGCCCCTGGTATCCCTGAGTCTTGTCCCAAAACTTGAACCCTCTTATTGGCAGAAAGTTCTCCTTGACATCTAACCTAAATCTCTCACATGCAAACTATGTCAATTTGCTCACAATATGTATCCAGGGAGAAGCAGCTCAACTCCATCCCCATGACACAATGACCACACCAAGGTCCCACTGCAGCCTTTTCATCCTTGATGCCGATAATCTCTATTTCTTTGTTCAGGCTCTGGCTGAAGCTGCCTGCTGTTCCCTGGCCTCGAACACACACCAGCTCTCTGACATTAAGTCTTCTCCTCAGGTCTCTGGGGGCCCAGGGCTCAGTAGGTGGCCAAGTCGTTCCTCTCAGACAAACCAGCTTCACCTCTATCCACCAGTCATCCAGAACAGCCTGATTCTACTCCCCAAGTTCCCTGAGAGGGGCCTTAGTTCCTGTCTCAACAAATGCTAAGGCTGGGGACAGGGCTTGGTGCCACCTGGCTGGGCATTACCACTAGAAGCACAGTCTTACTCAAACAGGCAGAGTTTGCAGAATCTTCTCTTGAGTCTGTTTCTGGTAGGGCAGATGGCATGATAAGAATAGTCTCTACTTCTTCCTCAAAGAAACCTGGTTTTGCATCCTGCCTCTACTACTTTCCAGTGATGAGTCCTTGGACAAATCACTTAATCTCTCTGAGCATCAGTTTTCCCATATGTACCTTGAGGAACATAGTAATTCTGCCCAGCTCATGAGGTTATTGAAAGTATGAAGTGAGATTAAGGATATAAAACACCTTGAAAACTTAGATATTTTATTATACGCTAGAAATAGAATGAGGCTTAGATCATAAACAGATCGATGTTAGCAAAAAAGCCTCAAAGGTCTTTTATTTCCAAGTCTAAACTCTGTGTCTAGGTTTTAAGGTAAGAGAGGAATAGACTTGGTTTGTTAGATGTTCCCTAGAGACACTGCACGTAAATGCCCCCCACCCTCCACTTCCCAATACACACACACACACACACCCCGTATACCCACCTTCCCAGATACGTACAGCACGGCACAGCCTCCTGGACTCCTGGACTCCCCATAGACCCCAGCCACCTGGACCTTTGCTGGCCGACTCTCCATTCCCGGGGGGCCGCCTCATGGCTCTAGTCTTGGCTACAGCAACTCCAAGTCTCCTTACAGAGGCCCCTGTGAACAGCTTCTCTCCCCTTGCCCATCCTTCTGGGCCATGGCCCTGAGAAGGCCTGTGACTCAAGGCAAAGCTTGTCCAAGGCAGTTCAGTACTGAGGCCGCCCAAGGGAGCTCAGAGTTGAAGCTTCCACCCCGTCGACCCCCTCCCCTCTGCCTGCCTGGCTTCTCAATGCTGTGCTGTGCTGCTTAATTCTTAATGGAAATTCCATCCCCGGCGCCGGCCGTAGCTGGCTCAGGGAGTCCAGGCTTGGGCCAACAGCAAACTCCACAAGAGAGACTGGGCCTGTCTGGCCATATAAAAACACTTAAACACATATATACATGTGTATTTACACACACAAGCAGCCAGACATGCTCAAAGACATTCACAAACTCAGATATTCTCATCCAGACACATCCGTACACAAAGATAATACACATTCTAATCACTAACATTTATTGCATATGTGATAACTTTATAGGTTATCAATTGCTCTAATTCTTAGAACAGTTCTAGGTTCTGAGAACTGTACCCATTTTACACGTGAAGAAACTGAGGCCCATGGAGGTTAAGTAACTTATCCAAGGCATTGGTAATAATAGCCCAACGTATAAGTACCAGGAACTGTGCTAAGAAGTTTATGTGCATTGTGTCATTTTGCTGCCTTAGTAACACCTTATAAAAATTATTATTAGCCCCGTAATACAGACACAGAAAATGGAGGCCGGGTGGCTTAAATTACCTGTCTGTGGCCTCACAGCTGGTGAGATGGAAACTCTACACAGATACACATGGGAACCCTTATGGTTGCACAGAGAGACACACAGGTAGAGACACATGCGCATGCTCAGAGATTCACCCACAAATAGCCTCAGGACTAGTCCAGAGCTATTTCAGGCAAAGGTGCCCTCCAGCCTGACTCCATGTTCTTCTCCTGTCCAAATGGCCTATCCCAGATCCAGCAGCTTCACACATCACTTTAGGAAGGACAAGTTCAGACTTAAATGGAGGAAAGATTTCAGGTTTACACTCCAGTCTGCCAGGTTCATAGTCAACCCCCATCCTCAGCTCCAAATTGTTTCCCCAGTATACCCTAGATGGTCACTGAAAGAAGCCTCAGCTACACTCTTCTGAAGGGATCACACCTCCAAGGAGGGAGCACCTCAGAGGCTCTGAGCACTCACCAGCCTCCAATACTTGGATTTTGTCCTTCAGGCCCAGATGAGTCTAAACAGGGCCCTTGGAACAAGGCCTGGCACAGGAGCCCAAGCATCAAGTAGAGTAGAACATGTGTTGCCAGAGGGAGTTAAAGTTATACTGTAGGAAGATGGCAAAACCCTGGTGGAATGAGAAGAGAGAGGCGTTGGGGCCGGGCCACTCCGCCTTCTCCTGTGTCTGTTCCACCACATACCTGTTGTGGTTTATTGGCCAAGTTGGGGGTGGCAGAAAAGTCCTGTTTCTTGTGGGAGAGGCAGTGAAGTCCTGAGTTCAGATAGTTGAGATGACAGACATGCAGGAGAGATCAGAAAAGTTTAGTCCACCAGGAGCTTATCCACTGCTTGAAATTTCCGTGCTATGCTAGATATCTCCAAGGAGCAGAAGGTGTGTTGGCCTCAGGCCTCCTTCTAAGCAGCCACAATAGAAAGTTCCTAAGAAGGCCTGTTATACCCTCTGTTGTCTCTTGTGGTTTCCCCATCCCCAACCCAGAATTCTCCAATTGTTTCTGTTGTCACAAGCTCTTCCACCCTGTGGTCAGAGAAAATAGCTCAGCATGGCAGCTCCGTGGGGCCTCAGCATCGGAAAAGAGTTTTTTGAGAGAGGAGTGCTTAATCTCTACAAATGGGTAAGGAATCATGGTGATTCAGGCAGTAGCTCTAAGAGGGGGAGATATTCTGAGCTGAAGAATTTGTATTTCTAAAAAGTTCCCAGGTGATATTGATACTACTGATCTGGAGATCATACTTTAAAAACCACCACTCTCTGGAATAAGAGAAAGTCAAGGATCATTCCAGTTCAAAACTAAATTTCCACCCTAACATCAGAGTATAAATGGTTTCTTCGGAAATCTCCTTAAAGAAAGAATGTACAATCCTGGGCCAGGTGCAGTAGCTGACACCTGTAATCCCAGTACCATTTTGGGAGGCTGAGGTGGGAGAATAAGTGAAAGCTAAAAGTTCAAGACCAGCCTAAACAACAAAGCTAGACCTCATCTTTGCAAAAAAAAAATTAAAAATTAGCCAGAAAAAGTGGTGTGCACCTGTAGTCCCAGCTACTCAGGAGGCTGAGGCAGGAGGATAGGAAGACTGCCTGAGTCCAGAAGCTCAAGGTTACAGAGCTATTATCACACCACTGCACTCCAGCCTTGGCAACAGAGTGGGACTCTGTCTCTAAAATTTTTTTTTTAAAAAAAAGAACTTTGCAATGTTTTAACCTTTTCAGCAGTTTGTTCATTTCCTTGCCTAACCTTCCTCTTCCCAACTTCCATGTCACCCCTGCCATCTGTTGGTGGGTCTTTCATGGGCTCTGTCATGGCTCTCTCTGCCCCAGCACACCTCAAGACAAAAAATGGCATCCTCCACCCTGTCCTCTACCTGCACAGAGAAGGTTATCAAGATGAGGGACCTGCACAAAAATAGCAATGACCAGCAGGCTCTCAGTTCCAGGGATGGAGATAAGAGATCAAAAGGTTATAATGATAGCAGCTGAAATGCCATTTCCAACTCTTACGATGAGCAATAGGCATGGGTCCCAGTACCCACAGCTGCAACCTCCAGTATCCCTCTGAGACGTGCACATGAGATGATGGAGAGATAGGGCCCTCACAGAGGACAAGGAGATAGGACCAGACAGGCTGGTGCAGATGCATCATTAACTCACTTGGGCAATGGCCCATCTATCTCTCCAACCCTTGCTCTGCAATTCTTTCAAGAAGGAAAATGTTCCTCAACTCTCAAGAGCCAGTGTGAGAACCTGTAATATAATTGGAATGGAGAGACAGAAGGGACAGGAAGGCCCGCAGAGATCTCTGGATGCAAGGGTTCTGAAATTTTATGATCCACTAGAATCACCAGAAGTGAAGAAAAATGCAGAATCCAAGGCGTCCCTCAGTGATTCTGAGTCAGTAGATGGGTGGTGTGTTGGAGCCAACATGCACCTCTCTTCCCCAAAGTGAAGTTCAGTTACTTCACATTGTTAGCTTGAACTTGGCCAAGGTAGGAGTATTTATTTACACAACAGAAATAGAGCAAACACTATAAATTAGGGTGTTTTGTTTTGTTTTGTTTTGGAAAGTCTATTGTTGATCACTTATCAACACACCATGGGACATTGTTGGTCTCTATTTTCTAGTATCCCAAGTAATTATGATGCAGGCCAACTTTGAGAAACACTAATCTAGTGATGAAGTTCTAACCCAAACCCCTTATAGTACACATAAGAAAACTGAGGCCTTGTCTGGAGAAGATTCACAGTCATGGTCTCTGTAGTAGGCTGCTCAGTTCAAGTTGGTGGGGGCTAAGGAGCAGCCCTGCCTGTTTACCTGAACTTGTCCTGTGTATGTCTGCTCCACCAAATACCTGTTGAAGCTTACTGGCTAAGTGGGGGAGGGTGGGAAAGTCCTGTCCCTTGTGAGCCAAACAGATTAATTCTCATCAGAATTTAGAATTTGAACTATCTGACTGGGGTGCCCTGGACAGCAGAACATAAATTCCAAGGCTGCCCTGCCCCTCCAAACCTTAACTATCATCTGTTCCTTGAATTCAGAGATTCCCTACTATCCTTCCAAAAGTCCATGTCTTAGAGTAACAAGCTATATTTTCTTACAATCAGAACCATCTTCAGAAATACAGCCACAGAGCAAACTAGTGAAAATAAGAACCCAAGATTCCTGTCCCTTTGTTTTTCCCCTACATCATGCCCTGCTTTCAGATGGGATGCCAAAGGACAAATGATGGTGCAAATATGCAACTCTCTAGGATGGTGGTTTTCAAAGAGTGATCCTAGACCAGCAATCTTGACAAAACCTGGGATCTTGTAACAACATGCAGATTCTCAGGTCTCACCACACAGTGACTGAATCAGAAAATCTCACTACTATCTAACAAGCTGCGTTTGAACAAGTCTCCCAGGAGATTCCGATGTCTGCTAAATTTGAGGAGAATTGCTCCAGCGGGAGGGGCCATTGCTTTGCCTACCTAACAATGAACCAAAGGCTGTTCAGGTCAGGGAGGAAAGGCCATCAGGGTGTAAGACCAGCATGGGGTGTGTGGGGCCAGTCACACCACTTCCTGCCCAGCTTCCTTAACCCCATGCTCCTTAACCCTCTGCTCCCAAGAGACTAAGCAGTGGCTATGCATCCTAAACTAAAATAGAGTCCTCTTTCTGAAGCCTGAAAAGCAATACCTTTCCAAAAACAGCAGGACAACCTCAGCAAAGACATGCCAGGAAATGCTACTTCTGTCACTGCCTTGGTGCCTAACTGAGGAGGTGACTCCCATTAGACCCTCCCTGGCTCTTTAGATTCCCAGGGGCTTGTTCTGTCTTGCCTGGGACAGCTTCTCATGTTCTTCTGGAAGGAAGACGGCCAAGGGTCTGGCTCCGAAAGCCATTTTGACCTCACCAGCTCAGAGTCCAGTGTTTCTTTCATTTTCTGTGCTTCCTTCAGAGAGAAAGATGGATTTGAAGATAATTGAAGAAGTGAGGTATCAGGGAGAGGGACAAAATTATAATAACAGTGACTACATCTCCATGTATTGACTTCTTTCTGTATAACAGCCCTGCTTGTACTAAGTACTTTCCATGTTTCATCTTGTATATGTGTCATAACAATCTAATAATATGCAGTTATTACTGGCCCCACTTAGAGGAAAGGAAGCAGGCTGAGAGAGGTTAAACAGCTCTCCCAAGATCAGATAGCCAGTTCACGGAAGATCAGAGATTCAAACCCAGGTCTGCCTGACTCCAGGCTCCTCTGGTTTGTTTTTTTCTTTTCATTCATTTTTTTTTTCTTTCTAAGACAGGGTCTCACTTCCATCACCCAGGCTGGAATGAAGTAGCATGATACCAGCTCTGCAGGCTCAACTTCCTGAGATCAGCTGATCCTCCCACCTCTGCCTCCTGAGTAGCTGGGACTACAGGCATGCACCACCACACCAGGCTAATTTTTTGCATTTTTAGTAGAGACAGGGATTCACCATGTTAGACAGGCCTGGTCTTGAGCTCCTGGGCTCAAGCAATCCTCCCACTGAGCCTCCCAAATTGCTGGGATTACAGGCATGAGTCACCATGCCCGGCAGCCCCTCGAGTTTCAATACAGATGCAGAGGTTCATCTGGGACAGAAGGAAGTGCACCTGCTGCTGAGAAGGGCAGGATGGGGGAGGAGACGTGAGAAGGCCTTTTCCCAGACTGGGAGGGAGACTCGGTGACTTGTGAAGAAGGAAAGGGTATAAGTGGGGGTGGAGGCTTGAAAAGTCAGGGACAGGACACACCAGCTCCCATGGGAAGTATGGAAAAAAAAGGATCAGATTAGATATGACAAAAGGAGCCCAGCTGGGGCTTGGAAAACATACATTTGAAATGAAGCCAGTGAGAGCAATGTGTACAAGTCAGAACTTGGTGACTCCGATCTGAGTCACAAAGTTACTGTGGGGCAAGGGCTGATCCCAGAGAGAACAGGGCCTGCAGATAGAAGTGACCTGTGGGGGCACCTGGGAGCCATTAGGAAGCTGTGGAGCCTGGCAAGGAAACAACTTGCCCCATCTGGAGAGTGCAGCAGCTCTGGGACTGCTTGTGAGTTCTCATCAAGGCAAGTCGTTAAGTGGCACCAGCCTATGCCAAGCTGATCAAAAAACCTGAGCTGCCTTTGCTTCCTCTTTACTCCCACTATCTCCCTCCCTGTCCAACTGTTCTGCCAGTCCTCTGCTCTGCCTCCAGTCTCCTCCCTAATCCTGCCACCATTTCTTATCTTCACTACCACCACCATGCTCCATGCTGTCATTGCAAACCTGGACTCCTGTTTAGAGTTTCTGCAAGGACCTCACTGCTTCCTATTCTGCCCTCTAACCTTCATTAACCAGACAGCAGCCTGAGTCATCCTTTAACAAGGTAAAGATGAGCTTGTCCTCCCTCACCTAAAACTCTTCAATTGCTTCTTACTACTGCACTTGGAAAAAATAAATGCAAATCTTTTCTTCTGTCTCATGAAACCCTACATGATT